CAGTGGTTCTTGCTTCCACATTGATTTTTCTCACACTGTTCCCTATATCAGCTATCTGAAGCTAAATTTCTCTCTTTCTCCCTGCCTTTCTCCTTCTCTTCTCTTTCCATCTCTGCTTTCCAGCATGCCTCTGTGACTGTGCAGCTCCACCCCATCTCACCCTGTTCACACTCTCTTTCTCTTGCTTCTGCCTTGCATCCCCCTGGATCTTTGAGATGAGTAGCTCTCTTGGCAGATTCACAGATGTCAAATAATTTATTTGGGCTTTAAACTCAGAGATCAATTTCCTGATTTCTACCTTGGTACTAGGTTGATTTTATTAATCTTTGGCATCCTTGCCTGCTGTTTTCTTACCCTGTCTGCCTGAAGTGGTCACCTTAACGTGGATATCTTTTATAAAGCACTGTGCAGCCATATTCTCTGCAATGGCCTGCTTATTTTCTTGGAGGGAATTAGCATGCTTGAGGGGTAGGAAGAAAGGGGGTCTTGAGGTTGGCTTTCCATGTCTTAGGCTTCAGGCAGCCATCTCACACTATTTCCTCAGCCATGAGGATTCCTAACCTCCATGTGTGCACATGTGTGGGTTGTGACACTACCCTTCAGCTGTATAGTTCATCTTGTAGCTTTTATTAATTCACTGAAATCCCCAAGAACTATGTTGGGGTTTTGTAGTAGTCTGATGAACCTGCGGCTTAGCTGCTTGTTTTATTTGCTTAATCTACTCACAGTTAAAGAAAAGCCATGTTATAAAATTGTGTATAATAAATATTGAGCATGTAGGACCTGTGGGTATATGCCAGCTTGAGATAGCTAATACTAAAAATGTATAGAAACATATACTTACAGATAAAAGGAATTTGCATATGACTCCAAATCCATTTTGTTGAAGTTTTTAAAAGGTTGCGGTTTTTAAAATGCATTTGGATGTCTTTTTCTACCTGAAGAAAAATGTTTGCTTTTTACATGATAAACAGCAGTGGAAATGCTCACAGGACAAATGGAAAAACCCCAAAGGAAGTAAGGATCTGCAGTTTGCTGGGAACTACCTGATGTGAACTACTTTCCTTTGTTCTGTGGGCATGATATTTTTTGCTTGTTACCTGGAGCTGCAGAGCCCCGGGTCTTGGACTTTTTGCATTCTAGTCCAGAGTCCCAAAGTCAGGAAGAGGATATTGTCCAGCTGTCCTCCTGTCACTGCCAGCTCTCTGTTGAAGGCAGGCTAAAATGCAAATACCCTACTTTTAACATTTAGCTGTGCCACCTACTCTGCCTCCCTGCACAGTATTCTCTGCTCACCTGTGGAGTCCCCTGACTTTCCTCTGGCATCAGGAAAACTGTGAAACAGTGATTTTCTTTTTTCAGTCTGAGACTCAGCTCTCCCAGCCCCCAGAGTAGCCATGGGACCTCATCACACAGAGCTTGAGAAATGAAAGCTGTCTGTGTTTTCCCTTCTGTTGGCTCGCAGAGAGGCACACACAAGGCAGGAACACAGTAAATTGTTCATAATGCTGACTTTGCAAAGGACAGGGAGATTATTTTACCAATTAAATATTCACAATGCGCTTGTATATGACAGCAGTGGGTTTATAAGTACAAAGATGTCTTGCTGTCTAGTAGGAGGCTCTGTGGTGGGAACCATTCTCTTCCTTGTGCCATGTTCTGATATCTTTATGCACTCAGAGATCAGCATGTTTACAACATTGTCTGCACAAAAAATTGCTTAAAAAAAAAAAGAAAACTTCAAAGTTAAAAGTAATTAAGTACAACAACATATTTTATTTTAATCTGCCTTTAAAACCAAAACATCCAGGTCATTAACAGTGCTGTAGGTTTACTTTGTAAAGCTGTAAATGTTTTACCCAGAATACTTGCACTCTCAGGACAGCTGAGGCAGATGTGATTGACCTGGCATAGTAAAAAGTCTTCTCTCTTCATGGTGTATGTGTAGCTTTTAAATATTCTTCCTTAGCATGTGAGACTGCCTTTTTGAATTAATTCCTTTTGTATCTCACACAGCTGCCTGACTCCTTGCAGGCACACATACTCCCAGCCCTCCCCCAGACATCTGTTCTGATTCTCAGTGCCAGGTGCCAGAGTTTAAGCTTGTTGGGAGGAGGGACAGTGACAAAATCCTTCATAAAATCAAATAGCTGTGTCTTTTTAAAAAATATTTGTGGTAGAATTTAATTTCTAATCTCTGGGTGTTAGCTTTTACTACTGTTTTTTTTTTTCAGGTTTATCTGGAAGAGGTCAGGCTTGGGTGGAGATTGGTTTGTTGTTGGGGTAAAGATTTTCCTTCATATTTTTTTCCAAAGTGATGCTGTAGCATCCCAGTAGTAAAAGGCTATGGCAACTGTAAACCTGTTTCTAGTCTGGAATTATTTTTCCCACATGGGAATGCATCTTATTTAGAAACACAACTGTACTTTCATCACTGAATTTTGATCCACAGAGGTCTTACATACCTTGTTTCTAATTGAAACACAGCTGTTTTTGAAATCTTCCAAGCATGCCCTAAAGCTGCCATCGGTTTCTCGAGGTCTCCAAGGGCCAGTGTTGCTCTTGTACAGTCCAGAATGACAAGGTCTAGGCTACTGCTTATGTATCAAAGTGCTCCATTTTGGGTTTGGTTGGGTTATCTTTGACAGATCAAAAAATGCTGGGCTGTCAGAGCCAGGACATTTCCCTCAGCAAGGAACAGGTGAGCAGCATGAGACCATTCCCTTTCTCAGCCTGGGAACAACCAGTCATCTCCTCTGCTCCACACTCTGAACTTGTCAGAAGGGGCTGTCATGGTCATGCAGTTGCAGGTTTTCCCCTGAGTCTGGTTTAATCTTAGAGTACAGCTGATACCCTCCTCTGCCATTCCCTGAGACCTGCCTTGGAACGTTTCTTGTCATCTTCTTGCACTCATGGTGCATCAGGGACATGGCCAGGCTGCTTCTGTTTTCTGCCTTCTCACCCAGGCACCTGGCTTCTTGTCTTCCTTTCTCCAATGAGATGGGGAATATGTCATGTAAGTGATAAGCCTAGGAAGGTGAAATAAATGGACTTATATGAGTGCTGTGGTCTTGGTGGTGGAGGATGTGGTACTGAGTCCATGCTGGGTTAGATGAAATCAGGAAGGTGAAATGAGGAGTTTAAGCTGCTCGTTCTCACTCTTCATCTCTCCTTAGGCATGTCTGCCACTTATTCTTTCAATCACTGAAGGCACAGGAACTCTCTGTGGCCCTAGTATTCATGTAGGGACTTGAGAGAAAACTCTTCTGGTGTATTTCCCAGGGGCAAAAACATCAAAACATCCGGAGTGGCTTGGTCACTCACAGTCTCTGGCTGAAATGAGAAGTTTCAGCTTCAGAGAAGTGACTTGGTGTGATAGTCTACAGATAAGACACAAAGGGCAAAATGTGTAATGATGTGAGCAAATTTAAGCCACATAGAGTGGAATATGTTTTTCCACAGTAATATAAAACATGTGAGACCACCACTGTTGGAGACCAGATGTATGGATTCAAGAAGGGACTAAACTAATTCATGAAGCTGTCCCACCAATGGCTGTGGAAAATGCAGGTCTGGAAGCTGTCTCCCAGGGTGCCGTGAATTGCTGATTGCTGGCAGCTCAGCACTCCATGCATTTCTTGGGCTCTTCCTTTAAGAATTGCTGTTGATGTCTCTCACACATGAAGTGTTCAGCCAATGTGGACTTCACTTTGATCTAGTAAAGTGCTTAGTGGCTCTTAGGATAGAGCTTAATCAAGTGGTGAAGCAACCTCATGATACTTCCTCCCGAGTTTGTAGGAGAATGATCCCATAGGCCCTTCCAATTGTTTAGTCCCATGCCTGAGCAATCTTGGCGAGGGGAGAGCAGCCTGCCCCAGCAGTGAAACAGTTGAAACACAACAGTGTACTTCTGTACACTCCAAAACACAAAATGGGTGTCCCTAGGAATGCTCATTAGCCAATGGCCTATTTATATATAGTGCAAGGCAAATATTTGGGGAGCCCGAAGATGCAAAGCTAATAGGGTTGTTACAAAGGATGGGTAACAAAAAGGGATGGTTACTGAGAGGCATAATGTCTAAAGGTTTTATGCTCTATAAGATAAGCCTGAAAAGGACAAAACTAAATAAGGAGTCACTAAGCCTTTTCTACTACAGAATTTGTCTGCCCTTGGTAATATTCCTTCCTGCCCACATTTTTGTTTGTGCTGATAAATGTCCTTGCATTAATAAACTTATAATGCTGCTTGTTTATCCCTTCAAAGCCAACCCTTGCAGCTTTCATTTGCATTTCAGGATATTTATGGCTTTGTAAATGAATGGAAATCTGCAATTTGTCATTAGGAATTAAGAAAAATCTTCCTTCCACTTAGGGCTGAAGCTCAGCTTTGGCCTTTCAGGGACTGAGCCACCTCTGGGCCTCACAGACAAAAACAAAGTCAGACAGTGCCCAGATTTACAACAGCAAGTGGCTCTTAGTTATTCAGATGTCTTTGATAATGTGTCATCTGCTGTTGCTGGCAGGGATCAGTGTTTAGGCTCAGAATTAATTTCTTTCTAGCTGGAGAGAAAACAAAAATATCTCTTCTGCAAGAGCAAAAAGAGAAAGAGGTAGTAACAAGGAGAGAAATGAAAACAGCACCAGGCACATGTAAAAAGTGCATGTATAGATATGCATGTAGCATATACACACTGCAGAGTTTAACAAAGTGCTTTTCAGAAGAAAACTTACTTCACTGTGCTGTGCTCAGTACTTTCAGCTTTGAAATACAGGAAGTTAAGAAAATTTTAAAGGTTTCAAAAGGGAGTTTATCTTGTACTTGGTGAAGGGCTAAAGAGTTGGATGGGAGGGATAATAATCAAAGGAGCCTTTTCAGCACTAAACTGTGGTCCAGAAAATCAAAAGAAGGAATGTTAATTGGTTTGTACAACATGACATTCTCAGTTCAGAGTAGCTTCAGCCACTCAATGGTACTTTTTCTTTTTTTTCTTTCTCTGTAGGTTGATTAAGTGAATAGAAGAAAAGGAAAAAAACCCAAAAAAACCACGAAGCTACTCTCAAGTATTGAAGATACAAGGCCAGGATGAACACGAAGGACGGAAAAGTGTCTGAAGGAGGTCTCAATGTCACTCTTACCATACGCCTTCTCATGCATGGCAAGGTGAAGCATTTCCTGTTGCCTGTGTGTTGAGTGTGTGTGCAGCTACCAGCAGAGCCTGGCACTAACATTGGCAGAGGGTCTGCTCCTCCTCCGCCTTGAGTCAAAAGCACCATTGCCACGGCCAAAAAACCACCCCCTGCTTTCAGGGAATCCTGCTGAAGTTTGCACTGCAGCCCAAGCTCATTGAAACAAACCCTTGCCTGTAACAAACCCATTTTGAGCGGATCTGGCGGCAAAAAAAAAAAATTGAGTTCTTCCATTGATAGCGAGCCAAATTGGGCAGAGCCTTGCAGGAGGCTGACCTGCATACAGCTCGCCTTTCTCAGCATTTGCTGAGTTTTGCAGGGCTTTTTTTAGAATACCAGAACATTGACTTGTGTGAAATAATTGCCACAGATTTGGTGTCTGTTTCTATTGAATGCAAATGGGGTCCAGTTCTTTGTTATTCTGGTGTAACTTCTCATCAGAGTGAGCCCCCTGATATGCTGGGGGTTTTTCCAGGTCCCTGCGGGCTTGGGTTGAAGACTGACTCTCATTTCCTTTCTGTCCAGTGCAGCATTTAAAGCATGCAGATAAGTGGGAAATCTGTGCCATAGACAAACTGCCAATTCAGTATTGTCAGATTTAACAGTCTGGTTGCTGCTTATTTCACATCAACAGATCATAAAGTGGGCTTTTAATTAAAAAACACATTTCATACGTTTGTTTGTATTATTTGCGTCAGGCAACTCCAGGCATTTTTAGGCTTAATGAATGAATGTTATAGAAAGGAGGTGGTTTAGTCTCATCCTTAACAGGGAACAGTGACATATATAATGCATGTTATTCTGGAGTTTGAATTTGTATATATAAATCTTAAAAAAGTTTTTACTCCCAGAGTTTAATTTATAACTAAAATACTTATATATTTTTAAATAATGGATGTTTACAACCTCTGGTATGAACACACATATGATAAACTCATAGCACAAATAGGACACTGAGGTATCTCACATTTTATTTTACTTATGGAGACGTGTGAGGGGGTACAGTTTAAATTTGCAAATTAAAACCCTCAGAAATTAGGTTATGTCAGATCAAATTATGTTTTTTCTCAGAAATTATCTAACCATTTTGATTTCTTTCCCCCTGAAATATTCAGCTTCAGGCAGGCATCTGGTGTGTAAATCTGCATCTTAAATAGGGATCTGTCAAACAAATTTAATAACACTTTCTCTTACAAAACCCACCTAAAATCTGTACACGTGTCTGTGCTCAAAATTAGGTCTTCAGGGTTGATTCTACTGGTTTCTGGTCACAATCCATGAAAGTATTTGAACACATATTTATCCCAGTGGGTATAAGCAGCCCTACTGGTTGCAGTCACATTCCCTTGTGCTTAAGTGATGGTGTTTTGGGCTTCTTTAATCATTGTTAGACAGCTCTGCTTGTTTCAGAATCATGCCTTCAAAGCAAAAATGAAGTATCTGTCATTTTCAGGACATTTTATTTAAACTGTGGGCTAGTATTATTGGGATTTTTTTTTAATCAGAAATGAAATCAGAAAAAGTTCATTTTCTCTGTTAAACATCATTGATTTTGTGTGCAACCACTTTTAACAATAATGGATGTTATATGTCCAGCCTTTAATGCATATGTAGCCCCAAGGGTCTAAATTAAACCCACAAATGCTACAAAGTTCAAATTTTACCTGGATTTATACCATGCATCCTCGGTTAACAAGGCACGATGGGTATTCTGTTAGCTCCACTATGCTCTAATCATGTATCGTATTGTGCCTAAGTATTGGAAAGAGTATATTAAATCAGAATTTATTTTGGTGATGAAAGTCAGACGCTTTCTGTTTCTTTGATGTCATTTCTGTGATTTAGAAATAATACAGAGGAATGAAGGCTGTCTGAATCAATATGAACTCTATGTGAAAAAGCATTCTGAAAGCTGTCTGTGCCTCTGGAAAAGAAGAAACACATTTCTAGACTCTTCCTTGAGATTTGTTGTGGTAATGACATCAGTGGAAATTATTGATCTCTAATTAATGTTTCTTGACAAAACAGTTTGTCTAGAAGCAGAAGTTGGTCTGTAAATAACTGGTCATAACTTGAGAGAGAAGAGGGGAAATAAAAAGGTTTTTAAAATAGCACAAACAAACTGGATTCATTTATTTTTAAATTAAAATAATTTTAATGGTATTTATTAATACATTGCATGGAAAAATGAGGACATCTCCCTACTAACTTTAACTCTCTATGTCTAAACCATTATTACCAGTGTACCTTTGCATAGGGGAGACGTATGTGTTTTGTGTTGTTTGCTTGCATTTTAATTGGAAATCCATTACTTGTGCTACTGTGCTTGCTTATCTTGTCTGTAAGTCCTGCAGACTTAGGAAATTTTCAGCATATACTTTTCATGTGATTTGCATAGGGGCTTTAAGTCAAGAATGGACATCTTAATGAGGCAATTAAGGTAAATTCTATACCTGCAGAAAAATGAGGATTTGTATGAGTGGCCAGACCTCTGCAAGATGGTAATGAATTAAAAAAAAAAAAAAAAAAACACAACAAACAAATTATGTGGCAAAAACAAAAGACTTTATCATGTGGTGAAAGGAAAGTAAATAGGAAGAGTCCTGAGCTCTGGGAGAACCAGGGCCAGTGTCTCCCCAGTGCATGTAGGACACCACTGATCAGCAGCTTTGCTTTATCTTGCTTTGGGGAAAGGAGTGTCTGCATGTCCAGCTGAGCTCCTGCCAGGCTTTGTGCAGCCTCTGGCTGAGGAGGCTGGGAGAGCCCCTGGGAGCGCACAGCATAGCAAGGTTTGGGAGCAGCCAGCTGGCAGCAAGGCAAGGCACAGCCTTGATATTCTCATGGCAGACAACATGGTGTTAAGGGAGGGTAGCAATTTTTTTATCAGTGATAGTGGAAAAAGGATTTTGTTCAGGCCCTGCAAAAAGCCAACCATAAAAGGTTAACCTTAGGGTAACCTCAGTATTTCCAGGGCCTAGTATGAAAGCTGGGACTTTCAGAGATTTTGTGATGATGTAAAATTTAATTTTCATCTTGTGCCATGTTACATCAGTGAAAAAGTTACGATGGTGTTACAGCCCTGAAGAGAAATCATGAGCAACACAAAACATTTATCACATTTTCTTGTGATGAATTAAAGGGCAGGTGTTGGTGAGGATGCTGCAAGGGCAATGCTTAGGCATTCCTTGCATCTACTGAGAAGTAACTGTCGGTGTAGGAAAGCTCAAAAGCAAGATTAGGAAAAACTTGTTACGAGGATGTGTGAGGATGGGAGGAGGCTGCCTGGGCATGCTGCACCATCCATCACTGAAGGTTTCTAAGGACAAGTCAGACAAAATTGAATTCATCATGTAAAGCTGCATTTCACAGGCACTGCAGCCTCTGCTGCTCAGCACCTTTCTGTCCAAGTTACCTGAATGCTGCTCCAGAGGGGTCAGAAACAGAAAAGTCTTTTGAAGGACATGCAGTTAGAAATATAGAATATGTTAAATAATGCAGATACGCATTTTCATCCTTTATTAATGAGAAAGATGGCACCACATTAAGAAATAAAGCTGTTTCATACATTTCAGTAGAGAAAAACAGAGAATATGAGTTGAGGCCATTTACAGTGCCCTACTTTTGTATTTTCCATCTGATTTTTGCTGTTCCTTGAAGTAAAATAAGTAAAATCACTGTGTAGGAAAAAAGACGTGAATTAATATGGGTATTTTATTATCTGTGTCTACTTCAAAAGTATGTTGGGCAAGACTGGAGTATTGCAGGGATTGCAAGATTTCTGCTTCCAGCAAAGGCTAGAATAGCAATGTTTGCCCAGATCAGATCATTGTTTTTGAGGAGTGTAAGGAAGACAAATGGAGTGTATGTGCATTCATGGGCAAACAACCCCCAGCTATCAGAGCCTTCTGTATGGAGAGGCAGAGCTCAGGCCCCAAAAGAACTGTAACTTTTACTTTTTCTTCCTTTCTAAATCTTCATCAAGATAAAAATTATTTTGGCTCTTTGCATATCATAGGATATAGGTGTAGACCTCCATGTTTCTTACCATTCCTTGGTCATCTTCTGCTGAATTTTCTATTCCCATGACTTGTGGCTGATTTTTCCTTGCTTACTGCTGCAGGTAATGAGATTGAAAGACTGGAAGTTGTAGCCTTGCCTACAGGTATCTACCAACATATGTTAGCACTTGACATCTGCAGTGGTCTTGAACTAGGTTTGGTCAGTTCATGCCCAGAAAGAAATAACTGTTGAAAAGCACCTATTTTGACTATACTGGATAATGATAACATGATTTTGGACTAGTTTGGTTTTGTACACAGCCAGTATTAACAGGTTGATTAAGACTTTGGAGACTCAACAATTACATTTTAATTTTATATGTAGATGATAAAGAGACCGTGGCAATAGAAAGGTCTTAAATCTCAGGAAAGCAGCTTAGTGGAGATTTAAAAGCCAGGTCCATGAGGTGGAACAGGGGAAAATGTTCAAATGGGCTAGCATAGAAAGGGCAGCAGGTCACAAATCCACTCTGAGATCCACCTTCATCTCATAGTGGTGGTGCAAGAATCTCTGCTTCCTCCCTCCAGTAGAAACCTGCAGGAGAAATAACACATTGTTTCCAAAGGTGCTGTGAAAACGTGTGCATTAATGAAATCATATTTGGTGCAGTGAAGTCTGCAAGAAACCAAAGTAGAATATAGTAATGTATTGAGCCTGAGGAATCTTTTAGAGAAAGAGAATGGAGTTCAGCAATAAAAACCAAAATGGATTAATGAAGTCAGGTAGGATGAAAGAGTGAAGCAATAACTGGCAGGAAAGTAGGACTCTTGCCAAATACTGAGAGATGTAAATCGGAGAGTTGAGGCAATTAACTGAAGAAGGTAATTTAGAAGATACATGTTCAGTGACAGAGGGAAATCTGGAAAGCATAAAAGGCTAAAAAGCATCAGATGTGTCAGTGTTTAGAGAGTGGTA